CACTCTCCCTGATGTGGGGTGAGGTTGAAGCTCAGAGAGGAGACAAATGTTGATCAATGGCTAGATGCATGCATATATCCATCTGTCAAGACCTGGTACTGAAAGAGAAGATTGGGGAGGGGGAGAGTTGCTCATTATACATAACCTTCCATCCTCCAGAGACAGGAAGAGGTATCCCCATAGCAAATTAGAATGGCCAATAAAACTGGTCAGATCCCAACTTCTGACTATGTCTATGTCCTGACTATCACATTGTCAATGATTGTACCCTAGATTGTGTCCAAGACAAGAAGGGTTAGGAGAAGAAAGAACACCCTTTTCTAAAATTAGAAGTGTTAAAAACAATTGTAACATAAATTGGTTGTGGACTAGGGATGAAGATGAATTCATAAAGACATGTATATAAAAATTAGGACATGTTTGTACTGTGGTTAAAGAAAGATGAGTATGAGTTCCACCCAAACACTTTTTTTTTTTAGTCTCATGCAAAATATTCCAAAGCTTGAAAAGCTCTGAGCTTGGAAAGAAAATATCTAGGTGTTCTGAAATGAGAACCAAACACCCCATATTTGAAAGTTTCATCCTGGGCATATTTTAAATAAACCATAACAAACTGGAACTTGCATTTGCCAAGAGCATTGATTTTGTTTTTGTTGTCCTTGGCTGAAGCTAGTTTAAAGGAGAAATGGGAATAAGAAGAATTAGCTAGCACCTATTCATAAACAGAAAACTATTTGGGACATGAGAAAAGATCTTTCTCCTACTTAGTAATTAAATTATTTGCCATGGGAAGGTAGGTTGCATGGATTATATTGCATTATTGTTAACCACGTGTATTTTCGATAGCTTGTGTTTTCTTTTTAGGTAGATTGCTATATGCAAAACTGGTGCAGGATGATTACAATAGCATGCAAATTAACTTACCTAATAATCTTTGCTATTTCTGGTCATGCTATATATTCTTGTCTCAGAACTGAACATTATTTCTTGGTTAATTGATATTGATCTATTGGGTTCATTGAGTTCATTTCATTATGGTTTCCTGTTGGAAGAAAAAAAAAGGATACTCAGAAGAATTATTCTTCCTGCAACACAAGGAATGGTTGTTTAATAAAGAGAAATCTCAATTTCAGTACTGGATGGTCAAATTAACATTACAGGAGTACTGTCTGTCTTCCTTTCTGACAAGAGGAATTATAGCTATAACGCTGAAAGCCGCATAGACAAAAAGAAATCTGCAGCAACTATACAGAAAATTCCTGCAATTATATTTCAATTCAAAAATAAATAAATGAGAAAATACCACACAGTGAAGCATGAAACATACCCTTTATTTAGAAGGATGTTTCTAAGTCCTGCACTTCATTAAAAAGAAAAAGAAGAGCTGACAGAAAGGTGAAGTAGAATGGTAAACAGCAAGGAATGGAATGGGATGAGTTCCTTTTTTTGTGTTTTCTTTGGTGAGGGGAGTCTATACCCACCAGGGGGGCCTTCGCCCAGGTTCGCCTGGTGCACCAGTTGCGACCCTATCTGGACCAGGAGGCCCTTCGGA